AGCGGCGGGCTTAGGGTTTAGGGTTTAGGGTTTAGGGCTTAGGGCTTTGGGTTTAGGGTTTAGGGTTCAGGGTTCAGGGTTTAGTGTGAAACTAGCAGCAGGCCGGCCTACAGGACTAAAAGCAGAGCACACGGGCCTCCACAACCTGTTTTGCCAGCTCGGACCAAATGCCTTGTCGTGGATCGGCTATGCTCGGCAACCGGTGTCGAAGCCTTCGTGTTCAAACATGAAAAGCCCGTCCTGCATGTGATCACAAACACTCTCAAGCTTCACACTGGTTTCCTGTCTAATCTTTCTATCATTGATCAAGCCGTGTCCTCCTGCTAAAGCGAGAGGTAACACGAGCTTCTGTCCCAAACTTTCCCACCAGCTGGCAGGGTTCTGTGGCTTCGTAAGCACATCTCCTTTCTGTACAGCACCGGGTATCCACCCGATCGGGAGACTGTCACTCCACATCTCGGACTTTAGGGCTTGACGGAGTGCAGCTAAATCGACTGCGAGGCGCTTATCGGTTGGGACTCTTGGAATCCCTTGTCTGTTGAGGTGGTCGTACAGCGACCGGCAATCACTCAGGCAAAGGAGAGGAAGTCGGGCCTTCTCCACGGTAACGAGGGTGCCGTAGACGAGGGACTCGAGCATGGAGCGCATGTACTGCCCAGTTTCCAGGCCTTCAGCGCAGGCCTGGGTTTCGGCNNCGGCACACGCGTTGGCCGGCCCTTGACTTCCAGTCGGCAATGCTGTAGTTGCCGGGGACGTTGTTCAGCACACCTCTGTCGGCGAAGGTCACCAGGACTCCGAGTTGGGAAGCCACCTTCGAGCTCCCTTTCTTCGCTTTTCTATCACACTCCTTGTTCACGTACGGCCCCTCGCTTTGTAACCCAGCCAGGTCGTCCTCGTGAGAGAGCACATAAAAGTCCTCGAGAGGATCAGGAGCAGGAACGTTCGCCCAAGCCGCGTCGTGGTACACAATGAGCATCATCCGGTCGAAGTCGATGGGGTAGAACACCAAGCCGCGATCCTTGAACTGGGTCGCCTTGGTCGCCACGGAGTTGGTGAAGCGGAGGTCCCCGATGGTGGGGCTTTTCTGAAGCTGCTGCGCCATGCTGACTGAGCATGTCAGATCCGGCCGACTCTGTGCCGACATCCATGACAGCGCTCCTATCAAGGAGCGATTGTCACTGATCAGCTCGTCGCTTGCCAGCTGCTCGTCCGGTGCACCGACCGGAATATCCAACTGGAACAACCGGGTAGTAGCGTACTTCTCCTGGAGAACCTCGACGGTGTTGTGGTTGACGCGCACCTGTGAGCCCAGGAACTCGAACTCGCCTTCCTCCCAGGTGTCAATCGGGAAGACCCCGGAGAGGCCGTCCTCGATCTTCTTCTTGAAGCTCTTAGGGGCAGCAACCAACAAGTCGTCCACATGGCAACCCACGTAGGCAACGGGTGCCCCAGTAAACTGGCCATCGCTCCACCTTCTTAGCATGAAGATGCAAGGGTCCAGGGCACACTGGTCGAACTTGTACTCCGCGCCAAAGTCATCGCGGACAGTCACTTCGCGGAAGCCGTCCTGAAGGTCGCCCCACCACTCGTGAGGGCTCGTGGCTAGCCCGAAGACGTTCTTTTTGATGCGAACCAGCTGGCCTGGAAGCATACCTGGGAACCCGGTCTTCGGCTGGTGCATATACAGTTCACGGCTTAAGTAGCTCCCGGTCAGAAACGCGCACTTTATATCCCCCGCAGAAAGACCCCATTGATCTTCCCGAAGAAGCCCGTTCGCCGTGAGCTGAAGGAGGCAGGCCAGTCCGCTCCTTGACAGAGTCGGCGCATCCGTGGAGAGGTGCTCGTTGCCCAAATCTGGGTCTGTATGCCCAGCTATAACCAACCGCGACTTACATCTCCATGGTGCATCGACTTCTCCTTCGCGACGCTTCGCCCAGTTCTTGTCTTTGTACGCCCATCTGCATCGTAGGATCCTGTCGCTGGAAATCCTAGCCCGGATCTCGTTGCTTGCCTCTGTAGAGAGAGGCTCCAACGCGTCGTAGCTCAGGTGTTCCTCCCGCTGTACTTTTTCGGCCTCGTGGAACTTGTGCTTGACGGCATCTGGGATCTCGTTCCATTTCAGCTCCTTTTCTTTGCGCTTTTCGACCCCCCTTCGGGTGAGGTCGCTCCTGAGCATGTAGGACTCGTAGGTGTTGTCCTCGTCAAGCCTGGCGACCTTCGTCTTCCTCTTGAGCCTCCTCGTCGGCATAGGGAGCTCATCGTCGTTCATGGCGGGGTCGAGGATCACTGCATCCTCGTCATCGAGCTCCATATCCTCGATCTGCTCGTCGAGGTCAACATCCTCCTCGTCCTCTTCGAAGGCGTCGTTCCCGTCGGGGTCGTACTCCAGCAACCTTTCAACCTCTCGCTGCGTTCCTCTCATGGAGAGGTAGGCTCCGACCTCTTCTGGGGTCGACCCTCTTATGTGCTCGGGGGAGGTCAGACGGCAGCGACCGTTGTTCGATATCCAGTAGTTGTTGCCCTCCTTGCCGACAATGACTGCGGGTCCGGTCCAGCTTCCTCTCCTCCGGTTCTTGGGCTTATGCCAGAAGTGCACACTTTCGCCGATTTCGTGGGGTCTCGGCGTGGTCCTAGTCCTCTGAAGAAAGGCTTTCCGCAACCGGCTGTCGATCTGGCTGCGGTGAAAGGCGACTCTGGCCGCCGCTCGCATCGCTGACTGTCTCTGGAACCTGGAGTCGTCGCTGCCGTCCCACGTGACCTTTTCGCCGCCGTCCGGGTCTTGTAGATCTTCGGGAAGACGGGGTGCCCTTCCGAAAACCCATTGCGAAGGACTGTGTCCACAGCGGCGCCTCAGGTCATTCTTTGCACTGTTGACAATAGGAACGGCGAGGTCCACCTCGTCGTCGCTCACGGTGAGTTGGTAGGTCACTCTCTCCCAGATGTTTTTTCCACCAGGCTTGCTGCCTCTCGATCATCCCAGCTTGCCAGTGACTCTGGGCTGCGATGCTCTTCATGGCAATGTTGTGCCAATCGCACAGCCTTCCGAGAGCCCCTTGCACCCCACCGTCCAGATCGACGACAACGCTCTTGGGAGGGCCGAAGGGAATTATCCACATCTCATTGAACTTCGCCTCAATGTCGTCCGCCGACTGCCCGTCCACCCTGACAGCAAGGTGGTAGGTTGTGCCGTAGTCCACAGCCGAGAGGAAGGTGTGCTTCACATCGTTCGAGTCATGGGCGTAGAAGAGGTCGATGCCAACGGTGTCGTTCCAGTCGCAAAGTTGTGGGATCACACTCGGGCGAGCAATCTTAGGACCCACATTGGCATCGCATACTTGACATTTAAGGCTGCGCGCCGCCTTGAGAACAGGGCCATCACATCCTGCGAGCCTAAGATGTCGTATCAGGTCTCCTGTTTGTGGGTGGCCCAAGTTCTGATGCAGTCTTCTGAGGGCTGACGCCACCATGGGCGGCGTACTTTCTCCAAAGGTGATCCCGGTGCCGTCCATGGCGACTTCACGATGCTGGTCGCCTTGGGAAACTTCGACGCCAACGGTACAGACCTGATGCACTCTGTCGGGACCACTGATAGGGCGGTCGCCGTT